ACCATCACCGCCACTGCAATCACCGCAGCCGCCACTGCAATCACCGTCGCCGCCACAACAATCATCGTCGCCGCCACAACAATCACCATCGCCGTCGCAACAGCCTGTCCATACGAAAACCGGAAAAGCTGGAGTATCCGAACTGCACTTGTCTTTCTCTCTTCGTTCTACAGGGAGACCGGGAATTGTTTCTTTGGGGGTGCTTTCACAGCAACAGGAACAGCAACAGCAGAGCCAAGGCCCACAACAGGCGCAAGGTCCGAATTTCCCAGACGCGTACACAACGAAAATAATGACGCAGAGCAACACGAACACTCCTACGATTATCGCGACTATGTATTCTGCAGGGAAACCGTTTTCAGTGGCTGTGTCTGTGGCCCTATAATCCGGAAGAGGCGCCATTTATAAATTAACAATTGTCTCTTGCCACGCGGTTACGGACAAGAACGGCTACAAACTGAAATAATAATCTTGTACGTTGGGAATAAATAATTCCCCGTTTTCGTTGATTCTTGGTCAGAGATTAACCTCTTCCACAAATCACTGTTCTCTGTAATCTAAGGTTATCACCATGTTGTGTTGTGCTACTAATTTCGTGTGAACTGACCAGAAGAACGAATCAAAGTTGCGCACTGCACAACGCATGCACCTAAGGGTTCTTGAGCTTTATATACGCTATGCGTTGGCTCGTGGCGTTGCTATCTAGCAGCTATATTCAGGTTTCTTCCAATTTTTCGTTCCGTCTCTTCGAAATGGGTGTGACGGATATCCAGAACTGCAGGTTATTTCTGTTGAAGAAATGATAAGATTGAAACTAACCGACAACCCAAACGATAAAACATCACACGTAACTTCACAGTATGATAAAGAACCTCGCAAACTGATAAACGTTCATGATCATTCTGACGCAAGTGGGCGGTCACTGATACAACATCTGTGACGTTCGTATCTTCCGGCAGGCCCATCGAAGTATTCTGTGAATATGGCGATGTTCGAATCATGCTGTGTTGGAGTGTTTCACTGACCTCTAAAAGTCCAGTGGTAAGTGTATGTACCACGTGATTTGACAATGTCATTCTGTATTCTGCCTAAGAAGAGTATTTATGTTCTGCATGATTCTCGGAATAAACAGCTGTTATTTTTTTAAACTGCACGAACTAACTGATCTATGTAAAGAACATTAACTTTCGCCGGAGTTACTGAATTCAGTTCACACCCTTGCATCCTATTTATTCATGTTTTGTATTTTGTAATGTGTGTGATAAAATGTTACAGTGGAACCACGGTTCCGGAGAATCTGACGTAAATACGTCTCTGTAATGTAATGAAATGAAATGTAATGTAATAATTCTTACATAAGATAAGTACCTGTGATATTGTAAAAGGTTTTTACCAGCACAAAATTATCTAGTCTACGACGTACTTCTTCTACAAGCGATTCACAGCTCAGCTCTTTCCGCAATAACAAAAGCGGATTGTTGACGGCAGTAATGTAACACAACAATGCAGAGTAAACAGATGACGTTTCCTAGGTAACATAACAATGCATGCAAGCTGACCATTGTTTTCAGCCCATATTTACAAATTGTTGATATTTCCTAGGTAACCATCTTACACATTTTCCTGTCACTTTTTCGTAACACTTTTTTGCGAAATGACGTATTTACGTCAAAATACTGATGTTTTTAAAAGCACGATAAAGTATTCCAGTTAAGCACACTAACAAATATTACTTTAGATCAAGAATTATTAAATCATGGCCCAAGGTTTCAGAACTCACAATAATTCATTACGGGTCCTCTATGGAATCTTACCAGAAACTTGAGGAAACTCAGCCGGTTAATCTGGTATCCAGGGATATGAACTTAATGATTTAATAAACAGCTCATTTAGCGGTGATGGCAAGCAAGGGATTTGCGTTAAACCACTCAATGAAGATCAGAAGCGCAGATTAGATCTGCCTCTGCGAAGGGCGAGGGCGTACTTTTCTCATCGAATACTGGAAGTTACGTTTTCATTTCATTAGTCGGTACGTCAGTCACAGTATGCTAGCTGTATTCGTTCTGTTCACAGAATAAATTGAACGAATGAATAATACGAAGTTGTGTTTGTAATTCACATATATATTTATTATTCAAGTCATATACACAAACTTTTAAATTTTGATGTTAAAATTTAAAATTTAAAATTGATATTCTGCGCCATTCATCGTTATCTCGATGTAATATCAATTTTAAATTTTAAATTTTAACATCAAAATTTAAAAGTTTGTGTATATGACTTGAATAATAAATATATATGTGAATTATAAACACAAACATGACGCATCAAAACTATAAACTTGTGTTTGTAAGTTTTTCCGACCGCATATTTCATACTACAAATTACTGTACGCATTTGGGCAAATTTACTATTTATGTTAATAGAATCTAAAATGGATGTGTCAGCTCAGTGCTGTACAAGAATTTAAAACTGAAGTTATCAGTTTTTTTATAAACGTATCTTTGTATAAAATATGCTGGTTTCATTTTTCCATAGTACTAACCACTTTACTGCCAGAAATTCATCAAGATTGTTGTGTCAATGATGGTTTTCCTGGTTGTAAAGCCATGTGGTCACCGAGCGAGAACCTCAGATCTCAAAAATTGTTGTTTATACCTCACCCGTCTATTCCTTGTTATAAATATGGTTGCAAGACTTTCGCCTTGGTTGTGCTACCAGTGTGTTTGCAGAATTTGACACAAATTAATGTAGACTTGTAAAATGTTCAGGTATAAAGTGATTTTGGCTTCCAGTTATGAGTTCGTTTGTATTCGCTTTCGATGAGGAGTGTTCTGAACAGAAACGTGTCCCTCGTTAATAATATGGATCAGAAACATATTTCATTTAACTTTTCGGATAAACTGACAAGCATCCTCGTATATGACGTCATAATGGCTTTACTTCGGGAGAGCCCTTACAAGCATAAGAATACTATATAGACTTTCTTTACCAGTAAAGTTTAGCAACACAAAAATTTGCTAAGTTAAAAACTCGAAAAGTTTTATTTTATTTTTTTGGAAAGTTTCTGAGCACCAAGCATCCTGAAACGAAAAGCAGAGTCTTTTGTTCTCTACCGCTATTGTGTGACAAGATAAGAAAATTCTGTTGTGCCAACTGAACAGACTGCGTCTTAGCCGGGAAAATGAGAAACTGAGAAGGAAAAGCAACGTTATTTTAAGTAGATTGCCCTGATGATGAAGGGAGCAAGGACCCCTGAAACGTTGGTAAACTTCTTCCAGACAACAAGGCGCTTCAAACCAGAAGACAGCCATTAACATTATTTTACGTTATGTTATATTATTGTTAGACTTCATCCATCGTCTGCGTGTAGTAAATAAAACCACAATGTTTCGGTTGTTGGTTCCACTTCCATTTTCAGGTAGAATATCCGATGGGAGGACAAAACATTTCTAAACTGGACTGCCCTGTCGATGATGGCAGCAAGGATCTTTGAAACGTTTGTAAACTTCTACCAGACTACACGGCTCTACAACCCAGAAGACAGCCATCAACAGCCCAAGATGTCCAAGTAGTTTCCCAAACTTTTCTAAAAATATGAAATTTATGTTCTTTCCCAAAAAAAGTATGAGCTTATTCATGCGACTTAACACGTGAAATTTGTTTGGTGGTCGTTATAAAACCTGTACTTTACTGACGACTGTTTATTTCAATTTGGATTACTGAGTTTTGGAATTTGTACATCGTCTGGTATTCTAAAAGAACACACAACGTTTCGATAGCCGGAAGTCTTCGTCCTCAGGCGAAGGACAGAGAGGCAGTTACTTTGTTGGGCCCGTTAGGAATACCTAATCTCGAACACTGGACCAAAGAGTTAAGAGTTTTCAAAATCTTGTTTTACCTTACAATGCCAGACTATGGATAAATAAAAAAGGAAAAAATCTCAGTATTTCAGGTCGTAGTCTACTATTAGAACCTGGCATTTGTAAAAACTTTTGAAAGACGGTGGGACACAATTATTTCACCAATTTCAAAAGCCAAACGAATCCAAACCGGAGGATCAATGCTTCTAAGCGAGATACCGTGTTCGTCGACCAGAAAAGGTTAAAATCGATACAGCCTAAGCCTTCGAAGCGATACTAGAAGGAGTGCTTTTCAAACTCGGTTCGCCTTTCTTTTCAACGCAGAGAACTTCAAGACTATCTTAATCTTTACTGTACCCTGAAAATGAACCTGCTTTTATGTCGTTTGACATTCGAAATTCATATCATCAAAACATTTCGCCTGTCTCTTCCTGCACGTTTATCTTCACATTTTGCAGCAAAAGACAAAGAAATGCAGTCACTTAAATTGATCCATGTGCACGCGTTGTTATTAAACGTCTGAAAAGAAGTGACGGCTGAAGTAATAGACATTTCCAGGTTTCGGTGACGTTGTGTTGCTCAGTGTACAAGGATATACACTGCAGAGGAGCTCACAAAAATCCTGGAGAAATCCTGGATAAGTAATAAAGTAGTGGCGGAGAAGTCCTGGAGAGATTATGCGGAAGATCTTTGGTCATGGAGAAGTGCTGGAGAAATCCTGGATAAGTCCTAAAGTAGTGGCGGTGAAGTCCTGGAGAGATTATGCGGAAGATCTTTGGTCATGGAGAAGTGCTGGAGAAATCCTGGAGAAGTCCTGGTACCATGTTACTGGTAAGAAGAACGGGTAGACGGGGAATGTATAAGAAAATAAGACGAAGATGAGAATAATAATTCAAAAAGGCAAAATTACGGTTAGGAAAAGCATAATTAATACTTGTTCCTCATTAAACTGCAGTCATATTTCGCTCTGGTATTGTGAGATATTGCAGATGTGGCAGGTCCTGTTCACGGGCGCTTTAGTAACTCAGTGCGTGATATTTCACCGTGTTTTTTGGGTGCTGAGGGCGATAAGTGGACCGCGGAATAATCGTAATTCAGATGTCAGTACTAGAGGGGCGTAGCTTTGTGATTGATCAAAGAATGCGTGAAATCACTATTCAAAATGGAAGATCAGTGCTTGTTAGTGCCTTGTAGTGTCACAAAGAAGAACTGCGAGGACGTTGGAACATCTGGTCTCAGCGAGATGTGACCACTGCAAACAGACACAATTCGTTACAAAATATGCCTTTTGTCTGGTTCATTCAGTACACGTGGTTTGGCGTGTCAGTAAAGCGGAAATACGGCCGCTTATTTGAAACTTTTGTTTCAATTAGTTTCCCGAAAACATAATTAAAAGTTTGACTACATTATTTTCCGTCAGTGACTCACTCTGCACTGATTCAGACAGTACAACATTGCGCTCAACAGATTTCATTTAGTGTTTCCCAACCTGTGGCCCGCGTCAACATTACTTTATGTTTACGCTTTCGGATTCTATTTTGCGATGTTACTGTGGCTGAAACATCAGATGTGCACTTCACCAAATATTTTTAGGAAGAACAAATCAAAAAGGGTGAGATAGCAGGGCATGTAGCACGCATGGGGCTGTGAGAACTACGTACACGATTGTGTACGGACCTTCTGAAGGGGAAAAACCACGCCAAAGAGCTATGCTGGGATGGGAGGATATTATTTAAATTGATCATAGGGAAAAAGGATAGGAAAGTGTGTAATGGATTCAGTTAGCAGGATAAGGACTGGTGGTGAGCTGGTATGACCACGGAAATGAATCTTCGGGTCTCATAAAAGGCATGAACTGCGAGATGATGGGCTTCTCAACGATTGTGCTCCAAGAAATTAGTTAAGTGGGAAGGTTACTGATTTATCAGTACGGATTTTTAATCGACTTTCGTCAACTACACAGTTTGTGTCCAATATTGTAACTTCATTTCGTTCAGCGGTGCGAATGACAGAATGGGAAGAAAGTAATAAGAAAGTCGAGTTGCGTTACAAACCCAAGAATGAGTACGTGAACATTTATAATTATTTCATTACACCTTTGTGCATTACAAATGACTAACTTGGATAATTACAACGTCCTTTGGGGTTTAACGCCGCATAAAAATCTCCACGGGACAGAGCCCTTCTTCAAAATCTGATGGTCGCTCAGCTACTCAAGGAATTCCATTTTATTGAACTCGGAGATTCATTACATTGGACATAAAACCTACCACTTGGCATTACTGTGTTATCTGAAACAGTCGCCGTCCTCATATATTTAAAATCCACTTTAATATTATTACCCCATCTACGCCTACGTATAACTGGTCCCTGCCCTTCAGAAATTCAGACTAAAACGTATTTCCCAGTATATGTCAGCGCTACCTAAATTCGTTAATTATCACACAGTAATTGAACATGCTTAGGCTGTCGACAGTAACGCAAAATGTAAGACACAGAGGGTATCGACCCTCGGAAAAGTTCTACTTGGTTCCAGAAACTCACGCGTATGTCCCGACGTAAATGCTGGGACAAAGTAGCCGCTGTATTCGCGGGGGTGGGGGGGGGGTGCGTGGGAGAGGGATAAAACAGGAGCAGTCGCGAAGGGTAGGCGATGGGGGAGGGAAGCTGTGTAGTGGTACTTCGTACGGAGGAAATGCAGTTTGCTTGAACCTCTCTCAGATGGCGGGCGAGTTGGTTTCGCGGAACTGGGACACAAACCAAGTACCACACGGACTCCGCGAAGTGCAGGACGTTTCAGATTTTCAGTGGAACGGAGCGCTTATTGAGACAAGGTAAGTTTCCCACCATAGCAATTACTAGGTGCTACTACTTCGCTTCGAGCTTAAATGGAAGTTGTATGTTTAATAGCATTTGTTCCTTCCTCGATATATTGTGTATACGTTTGTTTCGCTGCTGTACTTGCCAGTTTAAATGATCTAGTTTTGAATATTTCATCTGATTCAATATACGTCAAGTGTTTAAAACACCAATTAAACCAGCAGACGTTTTGAAATTTAATTTAAATCCACGTACAAGCCTGTAATAAAATAATTAACTCATTTTTTTAAAACAATTAATGATTACCACTGAGGTCACATGCTGCATCTTGATTAAATTTCAAGCCATGAAGAAACAAATTCATGCGTTCTTAATCTCAGATCTAGATGGAGGTGAATGGTCAGGTTTACGCTCTGGCCGCTTTACCCCGGATACTGCATTATAATGTGCATTTATACTGTTCAAGTAATTCACACAATGTCCACGGTTTGTCTCTTGAAGTAACATTAAATATAATATAAATATGTTTACTGTTAAAGTACCAAACTAATCAATTTAAAAATTTATTCCTTATTTATATCATAGTATACTGAACATTAGGATGTCCAAGCAAATGTCTTAAAGATATCAATGTATTCCTATAATAATATCGAAATATGGACAGCGATTATTCAGTCCAGTTTGCCACATCACGTACTTTGCTTTTCTGTGCATTTGTTATTTTAATGAATACACTACAGTTTGCATACGAACTCTTATGTGCATTAAATATGCTGTCTCTTACGTAGAGAAATGATTTTTACAGTCAAATTTTAAACAAGAATACAACACAGGCATGGGAAAAGTTATCATTGTTATCAACTGAAATCTAGAATGAAATATAATATGTTGCTATACCTATTATTTATTCACAACCGAAAGTAACAGTTAAAACAAAACGGCCAATTAAAACCATGTATAGCCTTTTCATCATGACGAACATTTTGGTGTCTTTTTTAAATACGAAATGTCGTTTCACCTATAAAATTAACATTATAACGTAAGTTTTCTTAAACTATAATCAGTACCTCATCCTTCAGTGTGCCCTGTGATATACAGTCTGTGACATGTTGCAAGATTAAAAATCAGTGGAAAATATAAGCTAGGCATACGGGTTATTTAAGAACGCTGTATTATCTAATAAACGAATCAAAAACCATGACCCTTAATCGTAACGTAAGTCGATTTGCCTCTGACCGCGTGTATTATGGATATTTTGAACGTTCCACTTCAATGAATGTTTTAAAACAATTTTATTAATGGACGGTTTTCTCATCACCAAGCAAAATTGCAACAAGAAATATTAAAACTTTCAGGTTCTGACGGCGCTTTAATCCTAGTGTGGATCACGGCATTTAAGTCTACATTAGGTTGAGTAATAATTGTCTTATATTTTGATCTGTTGTATTTTATAACTAAAATAGTTGTAGAAGTGATTTAAAGCAAATTCTGTTCTATTCTCAGAGAGAAATAAATTTAGAATAAATCACTAGTTAAGTAGTATAAATTTGAATTTGGAATATTTAACAGAAAATTTGCTATATGCAAACTTGTGGTTAATATTTTAATATTTTCTGTCAAATCATAATTTTTAATAAGATAATAAAATGTAAAATATTTAAAATATCATATTTAAAATATCATTTCACGTTCCGCATCGAATGATATTTTAAATATTTTATATTTTATTATCTTATTAAAAATTGTGATTTGACGGAAAATATTAAAATATTAACCTAATTCACAATATGACGCAAATATACTACCTTATAAACTTGTGGTACAAGCTCAGACAAGTAGAAAGTTCATATGATGAAAGCGCAATTACTTGTAAATGCGAATTAAGAAACAAATCTTTTGAAAATAAATGAAAAATCTATAATAACTGTACGCTCTTTCATAGTTAGTTTGGGATTGGAAAGCATATAGGCTTGCAGTGTTAAAAGTGAAGAGTTCATGGTAACTGCTGTTATTTTTAAGCTACAACTTCAAATAAAAGTCAGGTGACATTGAAAAGGTAGTTTGCCTCTCTGCATACCAATATAAAAAGATAAATGTTTGCTCCCATACTCTGGAACAGCCCGTACCAGAATTGTAATGACGTTTAAGGATTGGGGATAAAATATATCATGGGATGAGAAGAATTCTCGTGGGCATGTCCAGGAAGGAGAGAAGGATATTAAAAGCTTTTGTGGGCAAAAATAGAAGGGCGAGAGACGCTGCTACGAGTTGTAGCATATTGATTCCAAAGTCGCGGTTCTACTTCCGCCCACTACCGTTACTCAACGACCTTCGACATGTGTCACGATTGATAAATATATATGTACAGGTCAGCGGAGAGAAAGGCTTACACGCAGCTCACTGGACCAAACCACGAAAAGTACATATAATCTTTCAATGCTGAAATTCAGTAAAATATCGCTTTACTTCATCGGAATGGAAAATTTAATTCCTACAGACAGTCTTGGTCTGTGATGAAATACGAGTCGAATGAAGAAAAAATGCTTTCATTACTTAAATAAAATATAATTATCTTAAATTTAATAAATTACTACATTGGTGTATAACTCTGTGTATGATTCGTGTGCAGTTTATCAAAACGACAGAGCCATGAACCTTCAGCTGGTACCACGTACAGCAGAGAGAAAAGCATGACATCAATCTCGTGTTATTCTCTCTGCCGCGTGGCTAATTCTTCGTCAGTGCGTGCGAAGTTTTGATGTTTCCGTGGTTGTCTGAGGCGTTCATCTTTCGCACGCACACTCAATGAATCTGACAATGTCTAAAGCAACACTTGTGGTCGTGTCTACTTACGTTTGTAAGGAGTTGCACGAGTAAGCCTGCTACAAAATATTGTCTGCTTACCTGAAACAAAAGAACAGCAAGGGCGAAAATCATAAGCAAATTCATCAGTACTGCAATATTAAAAGCAAAAGTGGTTTACTTCATTCTCTCTAGATAAATGGCGACAGAGTGACTTGAAACAGACCACGACCGCTTCCTTCCCAATCAATTCCAATTATTCGTTCACGAATAAACCCATAATTCGAAGACACGTGTCCTAGGCAGTTTAAATTGCCATAAAAAAAAACCAAGACATTTCATTGGTTTCAATTTACTTCTGACAGCATATCGGATTGAGTTGTACAGAAGATATGAAATGGTTAATCTGACAGAAATTATTGTTATACAGATATATTAAACAATTATACTGGCTTATTTTTCAGTGTGAAATGTAGTTCCTTCAACACGCATTATTTATTACGTCGCAAAATCCTTCCATACTGTAAGTAATAACGAAAGAAAGAAAAACTCCCATAACCTGCTCCATCACAACAGGCTACAAGCTAACATGGATTTTCCGACAAACTTTCTACAAATTCCTTAACGGACTTTTGTAATTACAACAGCAAAGTTTATGATTTAAGAGGATATAAAACACACTCCTTTATTAATCTTTTTTTCATTTGTGGTTGGTTAAAGTTTCGCTGTCATTTTTCGTGCTTTGGAGAGTGCAGGGGAAGTAATAAGGAAAGAAATTGGAAAATATGTGTACTCTTCTGGAGTACACTTGGTGCCGCAGAGACTCTATGCTGGAGTAGGATGAGGCACGGTGTGGTAGCAGCTCGAAGCAACAGCCTGAGCATTAGCCACGTATTGCAAAGCATAATTTTAAGAGTCAATTGAATAAAAATTTTCTTGGATATTATCCATCGTCTAGTAAATATAAAACGTAAAACGACGTTTCGGAGATGGGACTCTATCTCCGTCTTCAGGTTCCTACACAGTTGGGCCAACTAGATAGAGCTGATCCCTAGTCCCATCTCCGAAACGTCGTTTTACGTTTTATATTTACTAGACGATGGATAATATCCAAGAAAATTTTTATTCAATTGACTCTTCACCATCGTCAAGAAGTTTTAGATTTGATAATTTTAAAACTTCTAGGGTACACACAGAATACGTATACACTGACCCTAACAAAAGAATAAAGTCATTATTACTCATACCACATGAAAGACCGTGTGTTCCGCTCCAGCGCGTCTCTCGAAGTGCTACATGACAACACATCTCGGTGTTTAGACTACTATAATTTCGTACCCGAGTGGATACAATGATTGATGCTGTCAAACATTATGCCGCAAAGTCTGAGAGTTGAAGCTGTTTCAGCGCAGTGAAACATTAACTATATAATGACACCCATTAATCTTTCATTCCCATCATTCATGTAAATGTGACATTTCTAGTCATTCGACACTCCATCACTGGCTGCAGTGAATTGTCATTTTACGTTTTGCCTCACTGCTATGACTCAAGGCAAACATATCGGGTCACTGCACTGAGTATACGCTAAAAGTATGCATTGCACAGAAAATGTCGCGGTCCGATGGGAGGGTCTGTACTTCAGAAAGAAACTTACCTAAAATTTATTGAGCACGATGTTTAAACGATTAATTTTCAAAGATTTCCACACTTACGTAATGCAACTGACGAATGACGTGTCCCTCTGGAAACAAGAAGCTGTTTCCTAGACATGTTTAAACAACTGTCGCTCGTAACCCGCCGATAACTGATGAAATTATTACAAATAGACAACCTGAAAGCTCATATCTTGAAGTAAATTAAATACGTGATTCAACTTGTCATAATCAGCAACAAAAAAATTAAACTTAGAAGAGTTTATAGCAGTTTATTAGGATATTCGGCCAAAAGTGTCACACACAGACCCTCTTCATTCCTTTACTTCTTAACTCTTTCCACGTTACGAACGCAATATCTCGTCCAGAAGCTCCTACTTCTGGGTTTTTGTCAGTTAATATAATTTCTAAGTGAGATTTCAGGTTCTCATGGCGGCGACTATGAAGATGGCAAGACCGCCTTCTGAGATATTGCTCCGTGTAGACTCGTAAAAGTTGACAGACGTTTTAGTGGTGCCTGTTGCCTCCGTCATCAGGGTTCATTGCTCTGTGGAAAATCCCATGCCATAATATGCCACAAGGCTGTCATTTTCAATAGAAAATGTGCTGTCATCTCTTTCCATCTGGCCTTAATATAAATAACAAAGGTATCGTGGAAATGCACAAAACCAACCAGACTACACGGCGCAACAACCCAGAAGACAGCCATCTTCAACGTAATTTTTCTTACATTACGTGTTGAGAACGAAAGTGTAGACTTTGCAATTGAAAATAAAATCCAAGTTTACAATCTAAACAACTGATCAGCCCATGCACATACAAAATTCACAAATATACGCACTGACACAAACATGCATACATACGAAAATTTAAACACGAATTTTGAGCTAAATATAATATTTAGATCCCAACTCCGTACTGCAGGCTTTCAATGTCTCAGTCAGTAGAATTGATTTATATATGCAGAAAAGCAGGGCTTCGTTTTTGCAGATTTAAATTTCATTAGGTTGGCACTCGCGTTTCTAAACTAGATACGACTGGTGCTCGAGAGGGCTCCACTCTACAGTATTAAACTTAAAATTACGTCTGACAGACTTCCGGTTGCTGCAAAACGTCCAAGTACATTTGTTACACGAATCTCTGTACAAAATCCCATTCTGTCGTGGTTCAATTACAGAGTTCTGTAATAATGGAACAGTCTCCTGTGAGTAAATATTTATGAGAGACTAAGTTATTGACAATAATTTTTGCATGTTTCACCGAAATATTTAGTTTTCCATATATCTGAACAAGTTTTATATTTTCTTCAGCTCAAAAACTTAAATTTTAAAATCGGAACCAATTTATACTAAAGCAACAGAAGGCCGTATTAAGAGCTGACGCCTACTAATTCTTAAATATATATGACTAGCGTGTGATGCTACCATAAGCATATCTGTCCTTCAAAGTAAGACCTGAGAAGAAAAATTAATTTTGCAGCAGCGATGTCATGGATGTAAATAACCAACTCAGAGTGTTTCAGTGTCGCATCAAAATAAGCGAGTGTTTGGACACACCTGTTTTAATTTAGCCCACAGCATGTGTTACGCGTCTAAACGATGCTAGGGGAGAGAAACTTACATGGCGATGAATTAAAACTTTATTTCAGCCCTGAACCGCACATTAATTTCTTATAACATTTAGACGGGTAGGGGTTTTATTTCAAGTTAAACCTGATAAGAACGAGCATAAATGTAATAACACTGCATAACTCGCAACTTTGTATAATAAGAGACAATATGATGAATGAGAACGTTGCATAATGACGAGCTTTATAATTTGTACTCATCAAATATCAGGATTGTTAGAGCGACATAATGAAGGAAGATAATTTGAGCTGGGCATAGTGAAAAACAAAAACCACACAGAATTTTTAGTAGGACAACCTGAAAGCAAAAGCTATTAAGGAAAACTAGTCACAGATGGAAGGATAATATTAAAACAGCATTAAAAGAAGTAGAGTGTCAGGTTGTGGACTGTATTCAACTAGTACAAGGTAGGTTCCAATGGAGAGCTGTTTTGAAAATAACAGTGCATCTCGAGGTTCCATAACAGGCGGAGAATTTCTCGACGAGGTAGGCAACTACGAGTTTCTTAAGAATTTTGCTTCGTGGAGTTGGAAATATAAGAGTAGAAACAAGAACTTCGCCTTACAGCAGTGTAAGACAGATGGTAATTTCTCTCGAATGATAAACTGTAACTATACTGTAGATCTTATGTGGCTGTTTTCTGATATGTTGCACTGTGTAGTCTGGCAGAAACTGACGACGTTTCAGAGGTACTTACAGTCTCGACCATCAGGGTGATCGCTCGCTGAATTCATTTCGGACCAAGTATATTACTTGTAATGAACGTTAACAGGCTTAGACTACATTTCTTTAGACAGCAGACAAAGGGTCATCTTCTGAGGATTCTAATATATTCAATATAAAATTCTATTACGATTTTAAAATGGTGCCGCTCAGTGTCGTTATTTATTGATTTTGCAGTTCATTTTAAGGAGTGATTAATTTAGATTATACCATTTTATATGCCACTTTTACAAACTAAACGTTTACAGATATAATATTGTATGCACTAGGGCTAGTCCAGTATCTGATCTCGTCGTCAGAACTGACATTGAGAGACGGGGATCTAGTAGGGCTCTAAGCTCACAACTTTGTCCCTTCTTGGCAC